CTGGGCACAGCGACCGCCCTAGCCCTCCCATTCCGACCGCTCCCCCTCCCCCCCCCCGGAGCTCCCCCCTACATTCCCCTTCCCGGGACCCCGTGGGATGCTCTACCCCCCTTTCCCGGGCACCGAGATCCCCCTTCACAATCCTGAACCCCCTTCCCGGTCCCCCACATCCTCCCGTCGATCTGCTGCCCTTGACACCGGGACCCCCCTGGACTCCCCGGGAAGCAGGACCCCCCTCCCAGACACACTGGGCTCCCCACTGTCCTCCCACCAGTCACATACCCACTGAAGCAGGTCCCACCCCCCAATTTACTCCCCTGGGACTCCCACCCAGCTTCACTGCCCACCCCTGCACATAGGGCACCCTCACCCCTGTGTCCCCCCCAACCCTCCTTCTCCCTCTCACCACCCCCTGTGTCCCCGCAGGGCCCCACTCCCTGCGCTACTTCTACACTGCGGTGTCGGAGCCCAGCCCGGGGGTGCCCCAGTTTGTGATTGAGGGGTACATGGATGGGAACCTCATCTTACGCTACGACAGTGAGACGGGGAGGATGGTGCCCCGGGCGGACTGGATGGCGGCCAACCTGGACCAGTGGTACTGGGACACCCAGACCCAGATCGCACAGCATAATCAGCAGGTTGATCGCATCAACCTGGAGATACTGCGGGGCCGCTACAACCAGAGCGAGGGTAAGTGTGGGCTGGGCTGGGGCTCCGTGGGGCTGGGGCTCTGTGGGACAGGACAGTTCCTCCCCCCAGGATCCTGTCCTGCCCCACGCTGCTGCATTGCCCAGGAACTTGTCCAGGTGGGTTTGAATGTCTCCAGACAAGGAGACTCCACCACCTCTCTGGGCAGCTTGTTCCAGTGCTCTACCACTCTCACAGGAAAGAAGTTCTTCCTCATGTTTAGGTGGAACTTATGCTCACGTTTGTGCCCATTTCTTCTTGTCCTGTCCATGGGCACCACTGAGAAAAGACCAGCCCCATCCTCCTGACACCCACCCTTTAAGTATTTGTATGCATTAATTAGATCTCCCCCTAAGATTAGATCTCTTCTCAAGACTAAAAAGCCCCAAGTCCCTCAGCCTTTCCTCGTAGGAGAGATGCTCCAGGCCCCTCATCATTTTTGTAGCCCTCTGCTGTCCCCTCTCCAGCAGTTCCCTGTCCTTCTGGAACTGGGGAGCCCAGAACTGGTCCCAGTGCTCCAGATGGGGCCTCCCCAGGGCAGAGCAGAGGGGCAGGATGACCTCCCTCCACCTGCTGCTCACACTCTTCCTGATGCCTCCCAGGATGCCATTGGCCTTCTTGGCCACGAGGGCCCATTGCTGGCTCATGGGCATCCTGTTGTCCACCAGGACTCCCAGGTCCTTGTCCTCAGAGCTGCTCTCCAGCAGGTCACCCCCAACCTGTCCTGGTGCAGGGGGTTATTTCTCCCCAGGTGCAGCACCCTGCACTTGCCCTTGTTAAATTTCATTAGGTTTCTCTCTGCCCAACTCTCCAGCCTGTCCAGGTCTCTCTGTATGGTGATGTCTCTTGGGTGTCAGCCACCCCTCCTAATTTTGTGTCATCAGCCAACTTGCTGAGGGTACATTCCATCCCTTCGTCCAGGTCATTGATGAATATATTGAAGAGGACAGGACCCAGTACTGACCCCTGGGGAACACCCCTTGTTACAGACCTCCAGCTGGATTCTGTGCCCCTAACCACGACCCTCTGAGCTCTGTCTTTTAGCCAGTTTTCAGTCCACTTCACTGTCCATTCCTCTAACCCACACTTCCTACATTCAGGTCCCCATCCCAGCCCCTTGCTGTCCCAGGGAGCCGTGGGGCTGGGTGCCAGCCCAGCCATGTTGTGGGTGGGGATCTGCATCACGGCTTTAGGTGACACCCCAAGTGCTGTGGGCCCTGGGCAGGACAAGGGGCAGCCCTGGTGCTGGTGCCCAATGACCCCAGGGCTCACACAGAGCTGGGTTGGGGGGTGCTGCTGAGGGGGGGGTGTGTGTCTGTGCCCCACTGATGTCCCAGGGCTGCAGCAGCCCCTCAGCCCCATCTCCCTGGTCGTGTTCCAGGGCTTCACGTGCGGCAGCGCATGGTTGGCTGTGACCTCCTGGAGGATGGTCGCACCAGGGGGTATTATCAGAATGCCTACGAACAGCCAGAGGGACTTCACCAGTCCCACTGCATCTCCTTGTCTCCCTCCATGTCATTTAGAGACCCCCATCCCAGCCCCTCAATGTCCCAGGGATCTGTGGGGCTGGGTGCCAGCCCAGCCACGCTGTGGGTGCAGGGGGTCTGTGTCACAGCTTTATGTGACACCCCGAGTGCTGTGGGCCCTGGGCAGGATGGGGGGCAGCCCTGGTGCTGGTACCTGTTCCCCCCAGGGCTCACACAGGGCTGGGTTGGGGGGTGCTGCTGCTGGGGGGTCTGTGCCCCACTGATGTCCCAGGGCTGCAGCAGCCCCTCAGCCCCATCTCCCTGGTCGTGTTCCAGGGCTTCACGTGCGGCAGTGCATGGTTGGCTGTGACCTCCTGGAGGACGGTAGCACCAGGGGGTATTCTCAGCACGCCTACGACGGGAGGGACTTCATTGCCTTCGACATGGACACGATGACGTTCACCGCGGCGGATGCGGCGGCACAAATCACCAAGAGGAAGTGGGAGGAAGACGGGACTGTCGCTGAGCGGCGGAAGAACTACCTGGAGAACACCTGCATCGAGTGGCTGAGGAAACACGTGAGCAACGGGCGGGCTGTGCTGGAGAGGAAAGGTGAGGGGGAGACGGGGACCGAGGGGACCGGCCAGCGTGGGTGCGTGTGCCGGCCCTCACTGCCACCCCCTCCCCAGAGCGCCCCACGGTGCGAGTGTCGGGGAAGGAGGCCCACGGGATCCTGACCTTGCACTGCCGCGCTTACGGCTTCTACCCGCGGCCCATCACCGTCAGCTGGCTGAAGGACGGGGAGGTCAGGGACCAGGAGACGGAGCGTGGGGGCATCGTGCCCAACAGCGACGGCACCTACTACACCTGGGCCTCCATCGAGGCCAACCCTGGGGAGAAGGACAAGTACCGGTGCCGCGTGGAGCACGCCAGCCTGCCCGAGCCCCAACTCTACGTGTGGGGTGAGCCCGGTGGCCTTGGGCCCAGGGAGGGGAGGGCTGGGGTGGTTCCCCTTCCCCTGCTCATGGTGGTGCTTCCCTCCAGAGATGGAGTGCAACCTGGTGCCCATCGTGGCGGGGGTGGCTGTTGCTGCCCTCGTGGCTGTCGTTGCCATCTGTGGATTCTTCGTATGGAAGAAGAAGTCAGGTAAAGCATCGGGGCCGGTGAGGCAGAGGGGTGCGGGGGGAAGGCAGGGCCTGGGGGGCCGGGAGGGGCTGTGGGCACGAGCCGCTGTGCTCTGGGGAGCCCCCGAGGCTGTCGGTGAAGCGCGGTGGATGCTGATGCCTCTTTCTTTCTGCAGGGATGAAGAAGAAGGGCTACGGCGTGGCGTCAGGTGAGTACCAGGGCAGGTCCTCCAACTGCTGCCAGGGGGTCTCGTGGCTCCAGTTCCTGGCTGTTGCTGGCGTTTCCTCCCCCCTGCCCTTTTCCCTGTGTCCCTGGAGTGGCCACATATGGAAGAGGTCGTGTGTCCCCTTGGTGCTCATGGGACTCCCATCCTCCTCTCCTGGTGGCCCCAGCGTGGCCGTGGCTCCTGGCACGTGCACCGTGCCCGTATCGAGCCCGGGGCTGGCAGCTCACGGCTGTTTCTCTCTCGCAGGCACGGACGGGGGCTCTGGCTCCTGGGCCAAAGGTACGGTGTGGGGATGAATGGGGCAGCCCCAGCTCTCCCTGCTCCCCCCCTGGGACCCAACTGCTGCCAGGGGGTCTCGTGGCTCCAGTTCCTGGCTGTTGCTGGCGTTTCCTCCCCCCTGCCCTTTTCCCTGTGTCCCTGGAGTGGCCACATATGGAAGAGGTCGTGTGTCCCCTTGGTGCTCATGGGACTCCCATCCTCCTCTCCTGGTGGCCCCAGCGTGGCCGTGGCTCCTGGCACGTGCACCGTGCCCGTATCGAGCCCGGGGCTGGCAGCTCACGGCTGTTTCTCTCTCGCAGGCACGGACGGGGGCTCTGGCTCCTGGGCCAAAGGTACGGTGTGGGGATGAATGGGGCAGCCCCAGCTCTCCCTGCTCCCCCCCTGGGACCCACAGCAGCCCTGGGCTGTGGGAGGGGGGCACCGAGACCCCCTTGAGCAGAGGGTTGGGGAGAGGGAGGTGTCCCTGGGTGACACTGTCTGTCCCTGCAGGGATCACTGCCTGATGGCTGTCAGAGGGACCGGCGTGTGGATGGATGTGGCTCCTTCCTTCTCATCACATGGAGGCAGAGAGGGGCTGGGTGAGGGGGCTGGGGGCTGCTGGCAGAGAGAGCTTATCCCCCCTGCCCTCACCCCCCCAGCCCTGCTGTGGTTGGGGGTCTTCTTGCAACTTGCTGTTTTCTGATATATTTTTTTTTAATTTTGGAGAATGTAATTACGAGTTATGTCATAATTATGAAGCTGTAACTGATTTTTTTCTGCATATGTACCTTTCCTGGCACACACAATAAACACTGGTCCCCACCCTCTGCCTGTGTCTCCTCTCCCAGTGCCTGGGCTGCTCTCCCAGCCTCTGGCCCAGGGCTGGACTGGTTTGGGCTGGGATAGGGGTGAGGGGGCTGGGGGCTGCTGGCAGAGAGAGCTTATCCCCCCTGCCCTCACCCCCCCAGCCCTGCTGTGGTTGGGGGTCTTCTTGCAACTTGCTGTTTTCTGATATATTTTTTTTTAATTTTGGAGAATGTAATTACGAGTTATGTCATAATTATGAAGCTGTAACTGATTTTTTTCTGCATATGTACCTTTCCTGGCACACACAATAAACACTGGTCCCCACCCTCTGCCTGTGTCTCCTCTCCCAGTGCCTGGGCTGCTCTCCCAGCCTCTGGCCCAGGGCTGGACTGGTTTGGGCTGGGATAGGGGTGGTTTTCTTGCTCACAGCCCAGCGAGGAGGCTTGGATCCAGGTCGACCATTGTGTTGGGAAATCCATGAATCACATGGGATTGGAAAGGACCTCTGGAGATCATCTCTCCAACCCCCTGCCAGAGCAGGTCCCACATAAATGTGTCCAGGGGGGTTTTGAATGTCTCCAGAGAAGGAGACTCCACCACCTCCCTGGGCAGCCTCTTCCAGGGCTCTGCCACCCTCCCAGGAAAGAAGTTCCTCCTCATGTTTAGGTGGAACTTCCAATATTCAGGTTTGTGCCCATTTCCTCTTGTCCTGTCCCTGGGCACCACTGAAAAAAGACTGGCCCCATCCTCCTGACACACTCCCTTGAAGTATTTATAGGTGTTGGTCAGATCCCCCAGCAGCAAGGGTCCAGGAGCTCCTGTAGGCACCCTTGATCAGGCTGAAGGCAAAAGTGTAAATGAAAAGAGCAAGTGGAAGCAGGTTCATGGCCTCCCACCTCACCCACCTCCTTCTTTGAAGTACCTCAGAGGAGCAGATACGAGGTTCTGGTTGAGAAGGGCCAGTCCAGTGAGGAAGTAGGTAAGGAGCACACAGATGACTCCTAAGTCAAAAAAGCACGTGCACCGTGCCCGTATCGAGCCCGGGGCTGGCAGCTCACGGCTGTTTCTCTCTCGCAGGCACGGACGGGGGCTCTGACTCCTCGGCCACAGGTACGGTGTGGGGATGGACGGGGCAGCCCCACCTCTCTCTGCTTCCCCCCTGGGACCTACAGTAACCCCAGGCTGTGGGAGGGGGGCACCGAGACCCCCTTGAGCAGAGGGTTGGGGAGAGGGAGGTGTCCCTGGGTGACACTGTCTGTCCCTGCAGGGATCACTGCCTGATGGCTGTCAGAGGGACCGGCGTGTGGATGGATGTGGCTCCTGCCCTCTCATCACATGGAGGCAGAGCGGTGCTGGGAGGGGCTGGGAGCTGCCAGCAGAGAGAGCTTGTCCCCCTGCCCCCCGCCACAGGCCGCTGTGGTTGTGGGTTTTCTTGCCAATTGCTGTTTTCTGATTCTTTTAAATTTTGGGCAACGCAATTACTAACAATGTTAGAATTTTGAGGTGGTAACTGGTTTCTGCTGCGTATGTACCTTTCCTGGCAGCACAATAAATGCTGATTGCACGAGTTCTGGAGAAGCAGGAGTCCTCTCTTTTGGCCCAGCTGGACACAGATAGTGAATGCACATGAAGAAAGTCTCCAGAGGCTTTTGGAGGAGGCCTCCAACCAAAGTTGACATTTAGATGAACCTCACAAACCAACAATATCTCTAATATGCATAGTATTAATCCAATATGGAATTTAATTGAATATGCAATGTATTAGTGATTTATGTCAGTATCAATAAATACAGTTGTTGAGAGAGATGTGGTCAAAGCCAAAATAGATAGAAAAACTCCTTTGGGTTCCTCCTGAAGCTCTGTATTTGGATGATGGTCAAGTATTAGGGCAATTGGAGATGTATCTTCTTTAATAACCGTAGTTAACCTTATGCAGTAATGATTAGGTGTGTTACCCTGCTTATTCTCTTTGCTGCTTAACGCTAGAGTACAATAACCAAAAACCTTAGTTTTAACTAAAATTATTACCTTCCTTGTGCATTAGCTTGAAATAAAGAGTTAAATAAGCTGACTCTTTCTTCTGGCATCTGTGTCCTTTCTGTTGACCCTGTCCATCGGCAAAGCAGGTGGCCGTGGTCACCAGGCTGGAGGGACAGGGTGCCATCCCAAGGGACCTGGACAGGCTGGAGAGGTGAGACCCTGCCAACCTCATGAAGTTCAACCAGGCCAAGTGCAGGGTCCTGCCCCTTGGTCGGGGCAATCCCAACCCCAAATCTAGGCTGGGCAGAGAATGGCTGAAGAGCAGCCCTGGGAAGGACTTTGGGGTGTTGGTGGATGGGGATTCTGCCTCCTGCACTGCTCTAGGGAGACCCCTCTGCAGTGCTGCCTCCAGCTCTGGGACCACCAACATCAGAAGGACATGGACCTCTTGGACCGGGGCCAGAGGAGACCACGGGGATGTTGTGAGGGCTGGAGACCCTCTGCTGTGAGGACAGGCTGAGAGAGTTGGGGTTGGGGGAGGTCAACCTGGAGAAGAGAAGGCTCTGGGGAGACTTTAGAGCCCTGTCCAGTGCCTAAAGGGACAGGGAAGGGCTCCAGCCACCCCCCTCCCTCTGCTGGCACCCCACGCTGCCAGGGCTGGAGGGAGAAGAACACGAGGGGCAGCTCGTCCCAGCCATGTCCTCCAATGCCCCCAAAGCCAGGATGGAAAGTGGCCACGGGGGTGAGGGGGGGAGGGGACAGGGCTGCCTCCAGCAGGAGAGAAACACGGATGGGATTTCATATTGGTTTATTAGGAACAGTACAAAAACCAGCAACAGTATTTACATTTCAACTCTCAGGGGAGCCCCACAAGGGCCACTTCACCCCCTGGCTCTGTGGCACCTCAGCCCTGCACAGGACCAGGGACCTGCACTGAGCTTTCTGTGCCCAGCTCATGGGGGAGCAGCTGCTCCAGCTCCAAGGCCGCAGTTTAAAAGACGGTTTCTGTGTTGTCATTTAGGCTGAATTGCTCAATGACAAGACAAGAGATGCTCTCCCCCACTTCTCCTTCCAAGGAGAGGAGGGGGAGAGATGTAGGAGTTTAGAAGGAACTATAATGAAAATGATGAAACAGCTACACTCTATACAGACTCCCAGGATGACATCACCAGCAGCACTGGAGAAGTCCCAGTCTGGAGTCAGCCATGGACAGGAACTAGATTTCTGATCTGGCCCCACACGGCTACCACCAGCCCTGGGATGGCAGCAGCTCCCACCCCACGCCTGCTCCAACAAGCTCCAGAGCTGCTGCAGGAGCTCACCAGCCCACCCAGTGCTCTTGGGTCCTGCTCTGACACAGCTCTGCTCTGACCCCGGGATCTCCATCCAACCCAGGAACACCCCCAAACCCCCACGCACCCACAACAGCCCCTCACTCACCATTTCCCACTCCCTCCTCAGCACGGCCAGCGAGGCCCCACGCGAGGAGCACTGCTCCTGGCTCCACTCCCAGCTCCCCTGGTCCCTCGAGAGGTAGTAGCAGACATTGTGGTACCCGACCCAGCCATCAGGACACGCCAGCACCGGAGCCACAGGCACAGCTGGATCCCCTCCACGTGTTCTTGCTGGAGAGGGAAGGGGAGAAGGGCAGAGGATTGGGCTGCTGAAGAAAGTCTCCAGAGGCTTTTGGAGGAGGCCTCCAACCAAAGTTGACATTTAGATGAACCTCACAAACCAACAATATCTCTAATATGCATAGTATTAATCCAATATGGAATTTAATTGAATATGCAATGTATTAGTGATTTATGTCAGTATCAATAAATACAGTTGTTGAGAGAGATGTGGTCAAAGCCAAAATAGATAGAAAAACTCCTTTGGGTTCCTCCTGAAGCTCTGTATTTGGATGATGGTCAAGTATTAGGGCAATTGGAGATGTATCTTCTTTAATAACCGTAGTTAACCTTATGCAGTAATGATTAGGTGTGTTACCCTGCTTATTCTCTTTGCTGCTTAACGCTAGAGTACAATAACCAAAAACCTTAGTTTTAACTAAAATTATTACCTTCCTTGTGCATTAGCTTGAAATAAAGAGTTAAATAAGCTGACTCTTTCTTCTGGCATCTGTGTCCTTTCTGTTGACCCTGTCCATCGGCAAAGCAGGTGGCCGTGGTCACCAGGCTGGAGGGACAGGGTGCCATCCCAAGGGACCTGGACAGGCTGGAGAGGTGAGACCCTGCCAACCTCATGAAGTTCAACCAGGCCAAGTGCAGGGTCCTGCCCCTTGGTCGGGGCAATCCCAACCCCAAATCTAGGCTGGGCAGAGAATGGCTGAAGAGCAGCCCTGGGAAGGACTTTGGGGTGTTGGTGGATGGGGATTCTGCCTCCTGCACTGCTCTAGGGAGACCCCTCTGCAGTGCTGCCTCCAGCTCTGGGACCACCAACATCAGAAGGACATGGACCTCTTGGACCGGGGCCAGAGGAGACCACGGGGATGTTGTGAGGGCTGGAGACCCTCTGCTGTGAGGACAGGCTGAGAGAGTTGGGGTTGGGGGAGGTCAACCTGGAGAAGAGAAGGCTCTGGGGAGACTTTAGAGCCCTGTCCAGTGCCTAAAGGGACAGGGAAGGGCTCCAGCCACCCCCCTCCCTCTGCTGGCACCCCACGCTGCCAGGGCTGGAGGGAGAAGAACACGAGGGGCAGCTCGTCCCAGCCATGTCCTCCAATGCCCCCAAAGCCAGGATGGAAAGTGGCCACGGGGGTGAGGGGGGGAGGGGACAGGGCTGCCTCCAGCAGGAGAGAAACACGGATGGGATTTCATATTGGTTTATTAGGAACAGTACAAAAACCAGCAACAGTATTTACATTTCAACTCTCAGGGGAGCCCCACAAGGGCCACTTCACCCCCTGGCTCTGTGGCACCTCAGCCCTGCACAGGACCAGGGACCTGCACTGAGCTTTCTGTGCCCAGCTCATGGGGGAGCAGCTGCTCCAGCTCCAAGGCCGCAGTTTAAAAGACGGTTTCTGTGTTGTCATTTAGGCTGAATTGCTCAATGACAAGACAAGAGATGCTCTCCCCCACTTCTCCTTCCAAGGAGAGGAGGGGGAGAGATGTAGGAGTTTAGAAGGAACTATAATGAAAATGATGAAACAGCTACACTCTATACAGACTCCCAGGATGACATCACCAGCAGCACTGGAGAAGTCCCAGTCTGGAGTCAGCCATGGACAGGAACTAGATTTCTGATCTGGCCCCACACGGCTACCACCAGCCCTGGGATGGCAGCAGCTCCCACCCCACGCCTGCTCCAACAAGCTCCAGAGCTGCTGCAGGAGCTCACCAGCCCACCCAGTGCTCTTGGGTCCTGCTCTGACACAGCTCTGCTCTGACCCCGGGATCTCCATCCAACCCAGGAACACCCCCAAACCCCCACGCACCCACAACAGCCCCTCACTCACCATTTCCCACTCCCTCCTCAGCACGGCCAGCGAGGCCCCACGCGAGGAGCACTGCTCCTGGCTCCACTCCCAGCTCCCCTGGTCCCTCGAGAGGTAGTAGCAGACATTGTGGTACCCGACCCAGCCATCAGGACACGCCAGCACCGGAGCCACAGGCACAGCTGGATCCCCTCCACGTGTTCTTGCTGGAGAGGGAAGGGGAGAAGGGCAGAGGATTGGGCTGCGCAACGCAATTACTAACAATGTTAGAATTTTGAGGTGGTAACTGGTTTCTGCTGCGTATGTACCTTTCCTGGCAGCACAATAAATGCTGATTGCACGAGTTCTGGAGAAGCAGGAGTCCTCTCTTTTGGCCCAGCTGGACACAGATAGTGAATGCACATGAAGAAAGTCTCCAGAGGCTTTTGGAGGAGGCCTCCAACCAAAGTTGACATTTAGATGAACCTCACAAACCAACAATATCTCTAATATGCATAGTATTAATCCAATATGGAATTTAATTGAATATGCAATGTATTAGTGATTTATGTCAGTATCAATAAATACAGTTGTTGAGAGAGATGTGGTCAAAGCCAAAATAGATAGAAAAACTCCTTTGGGTTCCTCCTGAAGCTCTGTATTTGGATGATGGTCAAGTATTAGGGCAATTGGAGATGTATCTTCTTTAATAACCGTAGTTAACCTTATGCAGTAATGATTAGGTGTGTTACCCTGCTTATTCTCTTTGCTGCTTAACGCTAGAGTACAATAACCAAAAACCTTAGTTTTAACTAAAATTATTACCTTCCTTGTGCATTAGCTTGAAATAAAGAGTTAAATAAGCTGACTCTTTCTTCTGGCATCTGTGTCCTTTCTGTTGACCCTGTCCATCGGCAAAGCAGGTGGCCGTGGTCACCAGGCTGGAGGGACAGGGTGCCATCCCAAGGGACCTGGACAGGCTGGAGAGGTGAGACCCTGCCAACCTCATGAAGTTCAACCAGGCCAAGTGCAGGGTCCTGCCCCTTGGTCGGGGCAATCCCAACCCCAAATCTAGGCTGGGCAGAGAATGGCTGAAGAGCAGCCCTGGGAAGGACTTTGGGGTGTTGGTGGATGGGGATTCTGCCTCCTGCACTGCTCTAGGGAGACCCCTCTGCAGTGCTGCCTCCAGCTCTGGGACCACCAACATCAGAAGGACATGGACCTCTTGGACCGGGGCCAGAGGAGACCACGGGGATGTTGTGAGGGCTGGAGACCCTCTGCTGTGAGGACAGGCTGAGAGAGTTGGGGTTGGGGGAGGTCAACCTGGAGAAGAGAAGGCTCTGGGGAGACTTTAGAGCCCTGTCCAGTGCCTAAAGGGACAGGGAAGGGCTCCAGCCACCCCCCTCCCTCTGCTGGCACCCCACGCTGCCAGGGCTGGAGGGAGAAGAACACGAGGGGCAGCTCGTCCCAGCCATGTCCTCCAATGCCCCCAAAGCCAGGATGGAAAGTGGCCACGGGGGTGAGGGGGGGAGGGGACAGGGCTGCCTCCAGCAGGAGAGAAACACGGATGGGATTTCATATTGGTTTATTAGGAACAGTACAAAAACCAGCAACAGTATTTACATTTCAACTCTCAGGGGAGCCCCACAAGGGCCACTTCACCCCCTGGCTCTGTGGCACCTCAGCCCTGCACAGGACCAGGGACCTGCACTGAGCTTTCTGTGCCCAGCTCATGGGGGAGCAGCTGCTCCAGCTCCAAGGCCGCAGTTTAAAAGACGGTTTCTGTGTTGTCATTTAGGCTGAATTGCTCAATGACAAGACAAGAGATGCTCTCCCCCACTTCTCCTTCCAAGGAGAGGAGGGGGAGAGATGTAGGAGTTTAGAAGGAACTATAATGAAAATGATGAAACAGCTACACTCTATACAGACTCCCAGGATGACATCACCAGCAGCACTGGAGAAGTCCCAGTCTGGAGTCAGCCATGGACAGGAACTAGATTTCTGATCTGGCCCCACACGGCTACCACCAGCCCTGGGATGGCAGCAGCTCCCACCCCACGCCTGCTCCAACAAGCTCCAGAGCTGCTGCAGGAGCTCACCAGCCCACCCAGTGCTCTTGGGTCCTGCTCTGACACAGCTCTGCTCTGACCCCGGGATCTCCATCCAACCCAGGAACACCCCCAAACCCCCACGCACCCACAACAGCCCCTCACTCACCATTTCCCACTCCCTCCTCAGCACGGCCAGCGAGGCCCCACGCGAGGAGCACTGCTCCTGGCTCCACTCCCAGCTCCCCTGGTCCCTCGAGAGGTAGTAGCAGACATTGTGGTACCCGACCCAGCCATCAGGACACGCCAGCACCGGAGCCACAGGCACAGCTGGATCCCCTCCACGTGTTCTTGCTGGAGAGGGAAGGGGAGAAGGGCAGAGGATTGGGCTGTGCAGGGACCAGGGGACACAGCTCCGTGGGGCAGGGAAGGAGGCAGCCGCTCCTCCCTTACCTGAGAGCACAGCAACAGCCACGGCCAGAGCCAGGACCAGAGCCACCAGCACAGACACCACCAGGACCCATTTCCTTCTGCCTGTAGCCCCAGGCACCTTTGGATGGGGGGAGGCTCCTTCCTCCTGTGGACTCAGGGGCATCTCCACATTCATGTCCAGCAACAGCCACGGCCAGAGCCAGGACCAGAGCCACCAGCACAGACACCACCAGGACACACACTGGATGGGGCCTGTGCCACTTTCCTGGAGAGGGAAAGAGCCACTTTGGGTGAGGACGCTGCTGTCCCCCTCCCATCCCAGCCACCCCCACCACCAGCTGGGTGGTGTCCCTCCCTCCCGGAGGGGACAAGACCGGGGTCCGGGGGTGTGTGTCTGAGGCTGTGGGGACCCGGGGGGTGACCCCGGGCTGGGGGGACACGGGCAGAGCGGGGGGTCTCGGGCCCCGAGGAGGGTTCGGGGGGGGCTGAGGGCCTCTGGGTGGAGGGTTCTGGGGGGTTTGGGGGTGCTGGGGGGGTCCCGGGATTCCCCTGTCCCCGCCCTTCCCCTCCCCCGCGCTGTCTCCGGCGCTTTCGCTTTCGGTTCCAACCTGCGGAGCCGGGATCTGCCCGGCGACCGGTGACGTCAGAGGCGGCTCGGGCTGCCATTGGGTGGGAGGTGGGTGGCCGAGCCAATCGCGGGCCGGGGCTTGCTCTGTGCCCGAATGGGAGCAGCGAAATGGCGCCTTGTCCGGGCGCTGCGCTCGGGGCTGTTGCTGCTGGGGGTCCTCAGCGGAGCGCTGTGCGGTGAGTGGGGACCCGGGACCCCCTTTCCCGGGCATCGGAACCCCCGGGACCCACTTTCCGGGCACCGGGATACCTTCCTTCCCGATCCCCCTCCATCCCGCCCCCCTAAAACCCTCTGAACACCCTTTTTCTTGGCACTGATACTCCCCCCGCTTCATCCTCTGAGCACCTGGACCCCCCCTGGAGCCCTTTGGGTTTGCACCGGGACATCCCCGCTTCCCTTTACCCCCTCTCCCCTCCCCTCCATCCTTGGGCACAGCGACTCTCCTTGACCCCTGTTCCCTGGGCACAGGGACCGCCCTAGACCTCCCATTCCGACCGCTCCCCCTCCAGCCCCCCGGAGCTCCCCCCTACATTCCCCTTCCCGGGACCCCGTGGGATGCTCCATGTGGGGGCAGGGCTGCCTGCAGGCCTGGTGGGACCAGTGTGAGGCTGGGCCAGGGACTGGTGTGGGGCTGGCAGCAGCTCCTGACTGTTGACTTTTCTCTTTCCTGCCCAGTGGTTCCTCTCACGCCTCAAGGGCAACATCGATTACTGGATTGGGCTGCAGAGACGGGGTGAGCACCTGGAGTGGGTGGACGGCAGCAGCTTCAACCAGACGTGAGTCCCGTTGGGAGCCGGGGCCGTGGGGAGATCATTCTGTTGTGGGATGGCTGGGGTCCTGGAGGGAGGTGTCTCTTGCAGCAGCCCTTGTCTCCTCCTGGGTCTTGAGGGGACAACCGTGACCCCCACGATACCAGTGGTGTCTGTGCTGCTTGTTGCAGGACCAGGGGTTCCTCTTGCTCCTCAAGGATGACATGGATCCCTGGATTGGGCTGCGGAGACGGGGCGAGCACCTGGAGTGGGTGGACGGCAGCAGCTTCAACCAGACGTGAGTCCTGTTGGGAGCCGGGGCCGTGGGGAGATCATTCTGTTGTGGGATGGCTGGGGTCCTGGAGGGAGGTGTCTCTTGCAGCAGCCCTTGTCTCCTCCTGGGTCTTGAGGGGACAACCATGACCCCCACGATACCAGTGGTGTCTGTGCTGCTTGTTGCAGGACAAGGGGTTCCTCTTGCTCCTCAAGGATGACATGGATCCCTGGATTGGGCTGCGGAGACGGGGCGAGCACCTGGAGTGGGTGGACGGCAGCAGCTTCAACCAGACGTGAGTCCCGTTGGGAGCCGGGGCCGTGGGGAGACCGTCCTGTGGTGGGACGGGCAGGGTCCTGGTGGGAGGTGTCTGCTGGGGCTGTCCCTTGCAGGCAGCCCTTGTCTCCTCCTGGGTCTTGAGGGGACAACTGTGACCCCCACGATACCAATGGTGTCTGTGCTGCTTGTTGCAGGATCCCAGTGGTGGGTGAAGAACCTTGTCTGTTCCTCAATGATCATGATCTCCTGAGTGCCTGCTGCTCCCAGCCATGGCCTTATCTCTGCAGCAAACCTATGCTCCAGTGAGATCCACGTGACAGAAGTGGTGGAGAAAGGCCCTTCTCCATGGTGGAGACTCACAATTTCCCCTCTTCCAGCAGCACGGAGTGGTGCAGGGATGTCCTTCCCTCTGCTGCTGCTCTGGTTGCTCCTGGTCTCAGCAGAAACTCGCTGCCAGCTCTCAGGAGATGAACCTGCAGGTCAGGAGCTGTGGTGGGAGCTGCCGTGTGCCTGCCTGGGCTGGGACTTCAACCATGGAACTGGTTTCTTTCTCCTCCTGGGACTATTGCAGAACTCTTCTTGTTTGTGCCACAAGACACATTGTCCTAGTTTGAGGTAGAACAGAACCAACTTTCTCTTCAGTGATTTTATTACCAGAATATTTTGTAAGAATTATCAGGTTTTTCTTAGAGAGGTAGGACCAATGTTGATAGTTCCTGCCAAGGAATGGGGTGCAGAGAGGCTCTTGCTTCTATTATCTGCTATGACAACCAAGGTAACTCTCATATTTGCCCCACTGGAGGGTTAGAAGCAGAAAAGCATAGAGGTGTTGCTACTGTGAGGAGGAGCAGGCAGGATGGGGGCCCCAAAAGTGACCACGGGGTGTTCCATCCCATCTGCCCCACGCTCAGTGTGAAAGGTGAGGGATCAAAGGGTCAGCTCTTTCTTCGATGGCTGGCATCTGAGGAGGGCCCTGTCTGTTCGGCTGTCTTTGATCCAGGTCCCTGTGTTCCTGACTCCAGATTTCTTTGCTGAATCCACTCTGGGACTTCCCTAATCCTTCCAATGAGGTCTTCCTGGGAGCTTGGTATAGATTGTATCTATTCATTATTTTCATTGAAGTAGTTGCTTCTAAGCTCATAGCTCTCTCCTCCTATATGTGTATATATATACATTGTGTATAGCCCCTGTGGAGAAAAATGTGGGAACTCAGACCGAGCTCCCCCGCAAAGACGTGGCCGTTCAGGGCAGGGCCCTGGCTGCACCGAATGCCTGAGCCTGGCTGTGGTACCACAGGGACCCAGGGACACCCATTGCGTGCGGTGTGAGCAGATAAACGACCTGCTCAGAGAGGCAAGCAGAACCCTCAACAGCCTCCCTCGCATTCCCAGTTACATCTGCAAAATAGGTTTGGAGTTCTGGATTTTGGGGATGAGGCAAATGAGACTGGAGAGGATGATCTCCCCAGTGAGGCACCCTGGACGGGTCACCCACCCATGTGCCTCAGGACCTCATCAACAAAGAAAAAATGGAGGGTGATTGTAATAGGTGACTCCCTTCTCAGTGGAACAGAGGGCCCAATCTGTTGGCCAGACCCGTCCCACAGGGAAGTCACCTGCCTCCCTGGGCCAGGACCAAGGACATACCTTCCCTCCGTCGCAACACCCTTCTTTGGAGATTTTTCAAGACCCGCCTGGATGCTCCTGAGTAACATGCTCTGACAAGCTCTAGGCAATCCTGCTTTGGCAGGGGAGTTGGACTAGATGATCTCTATGGTCCCTTCCAACTCTAAAAATTCAGTGAAATACGGTGGACGAAGGGGTAATTAGGAAGAAACAACAAATCAACTCATGGTTAAAAGACTGGAGTAAACGGCAGGACTTTGGATTCTTTGAGCACAGGCTGATCTGCAGGTCATCAGGCATGCTTGCAGCAGGTGGGGGAAGCCTAACCCAAAGGGGAAAAAGGATATTGGCCAATTGGTCGTGTCATTGGCCAATTCAGCTGAAAAGACAACCCAGAAGGCTTCTTTTAAGCTGTGGCTTTGGTGCTGGAGCAGCTGCTCCCCCATGAGCTGGGCACAGAAAGCTCAGGGCAGGTCCCTGGCCCTGTGCAGGGCAGGGGGGCCACAGAGCCAGGGGGTGAAGTGGCCCTTGTGGGGCTCCCGTAAGAGTTAAAATGTAAATGGAGACACTGTTGCTGGTTTTTGTACTGTTTTTAATAAAGCATCATGAATTGCTGTGGGTGTTTCTCTCCTGGTGTTCAAGGGCATCCAAAGGAATCCGGGGGTCCAAGAGGGTCAAATGGGGGGTCCAAGGACTTCCAAGGGGGCCCAGAAGGTCCTTGGCCCCCCAGCGTGGTTTAACCCTCACTCCCCACTTTCCCCCACAGGGAGAAAAGGAGGGGAAAACATCTTGTGAGTTGGAATAAAGACAGTTTAAGACAACAGTTACATCAGAGGAAAATATGATTAATTGTAAAAAAAATATTCAAAATTAAGGGATACAACAGCAGGTGCCCTCAGCACCTGAGGACTGATTGCGCGGAGGATCAAAGGGGGTCCAAGAACTTCCAAGGGGGCCCAGGAGGTCCTTGGCCCCCCAGCGTGGTTTAACCCTCACTCCCCACTTTCCCCCACAGGGAGAAAAGGAGGGGAAAACATCTTGTGAGTTGGAATAAAGACAGTTTAAGACAACAGTTACAGCAGAGGAAAATATGATTAATTGTAAAAAAAATATTCAAAATTAAGGGATACAACAGCAGGTGCCCTCAGCACCTGAGGACTGATTGCCCAGACTGTCCACAGCAGCAATGGAGGGTCCCAGCCCCCTCCCGACTCTCATTTCTGTCCTGAGCAGGATATCTGTGGGGTGCAATAGCCCTTTGGCCACCTCGTCCTGGCCGTGCTCCCTCTCAGCTGTGATGGGAAGCTGAAAAAGCCCTTGACTGATGTGAACATTTCTCAGCCACGTATAAAACCATGTCGGATCAATCACATTCTCACAACAAATTCAAAACGCAGCCGATACTAGAAAGAAAATCAACTCCATCAAACCTGAAATGAGGACACACACCCCTGCTCAGAGCCTCCCAGTACCTGGGGGGACCCCACAGCAGCCCCTGCCCCCTGCCCCTCACTGCCCCTCTGTCCTCTGGGCTGGGGCAGGGCAGAGAGGGGCATCTCCTGCAGGGTCCAGGAGAGGAGAGGGAGGAGTCTCTGGAGAAGGACAGGGGCTGCTGGAGGCTGTGGTGGGGATGGAAGGGGGGCTGAGGGTGATGCTGCCCCTGAGGCACAGCTCCATTTTCGCTGTCTCCACTTGAAACCAAGGGCGCAGGGTCTCCCTGTGGAATGAGCCTGGTGGGAAAGTGAAGATCTTGACCCCAGTGTCGGCGTTGAGGAAAGTCACCAGCCCCTCTGTACAGTCCAGACAGACCCAGATCCTCCTGGGGACTGGGGACAGCGGGATGGAAGGAAAGGTGAGAGCCTCGAACTGCCCTCTCCGGTGCCGAACTGCCCAGATCCCTTCTTCAGGGCTTGGTAACACTCTCCTCTTTCTCTCCCCAGTCTCTTTGGCCACCCCAACACCCCACCACGAATCATCTCCCACCTCCCCCTCCACCTCCACCTCCCAGCAGTGCCTCCCCTCATGGAACCTCTGTTTGCCCAGCACCCAGCACCAATAAGTAAATCTCTCAGGGGTGCTGGGCAGGTTCAGCCGTGTGGTCCCCCATCTCACACTTCTCAAATCCTCCGACAGGAGAAGCTGGGAATGAGCCGTGTTTGGATCCAGGGTCACCACATCTGCAGGGAACAGGAGGAGCGGGAGCATCAGAGCTCAGTCCTGGGCAGATTTCACTACTCCAGGGCCAGGACCTGCCCTACGGGGCAGGAGACTGGGCATCTCCTTCCTCCTCTCCATCCCCACTATGGGTCCAGCTCCACCACGGCCAAGTTCAGTCCCGTGGGAAGAGGCACCAGTGGGGCTGCAGCCCCTGCAGGGAGTAGCAGGATGGGGAGAGGGGCTGGGCTGGGCAGTGCAAGGTATCTCAGGGGGAGATGGCCCCTCTGGGGCACCATGGTGTAACTCAGAACAGGGTGGAACAGCAAGAAAATGGGGTGAGATCCAGGCCAGTGTGATGGTCAGGGGGGGAGTCTGAGTCACCAACACGCCCAGGCACGGCCAGTCCCTTCACTGGACAGCCCAGTTACACCTTGCACAGCGGGAAAGGGAGAAGAACCACCCATAAACCAAAACAAAATACAATAAAAGACCCAATTACCTGGATTCTCAGGAAGCAGAAATTTTCTCCACTCTACAAGGACAGAAAAGAACAGGTCATATCCCACCACTGGTACCCAGTGGCTGTGGAAAGCGTAAAGGGCCCATCCCTGGTCTGGTGTCCCTGAGCTGCCCACCTCCCCAGACACATCCCCTCGGGGTTTGCCTGGACCCAGGGGATGCAGGGATGGAGAGGATGTGCAAGACAGAAACGGGTCAAGTCCAGAGTGCCCAAGAGAGGACACCGAGCCAGGAGGAGTTCGTGGAGACTCACCCAACAGTGCAGCTTGTTCCTCTGGAAAGCAAAAGGAATATTTGGTCAGAGAGGACAGCTTCTCATCCCATAAGTGCTCAAGAAGGAGTAAGAAGAGCTGGGGAAACCCAAATTCTTCCTTTTTGGGGAGTGGGAAAACACTTTCTGGGTCCCAGGGATGGGTTCCTCCAGCCTGGTCATGTCCCACAGCTGGTAGCCAGGGACTTTGGGCAGGGAAGAGGGTATGTCCCTGGACTGGTTTCACCAAGCCGCCCACCCCCTACAGGCACCTCCCCTCAGGGGTTTGCCTGGACCCAAGGGATGCAGGGATGCAGAGGACAGGCAAGGGAGGACAGGGCCAAGCACAGAGCATCCAGGAAAGGACACTGAGCCAGGAGGATCTCACAGAGACTCACCCAGTGCTGCATCTCGTTGCTCTGGAAAGGAAAAACAAAATCAGTTAGTGATGAAAGGGAAGAGCTTCTGACCCCATGGCTCAGGAGAGCAGAGCTCGGGCTGAGCCCAAACTCCTGCCTGGGGAATGGGAAAAGTCCCCTTGGCTCCCAGGGTGGATCCCTGACCTCCTATCCCCACCCTAGTTCACACAGGCACCCTACAGTTAAGCCTGAATTAAGCAGAGATTTAAGGCTCAGCCTGATTTAAGCTCACCCAGTGCTGGTCCCTGTTACTTCCATTGAGTCAGTACACCTCCCGTGCCCAGTTCCCGTGCCCAGTTCCCTGCACCAGTGCTCTCCAGTCCCCTTCTGGGCTCCATCAACCCACATGAGTGACCAGAGAAACAACAAGAGCCATCGAAAGCCACGTCCCTCCCTGGGGGCTCCTTTCTCAGGAGGCTTTGCTGGTGGCAGGGGCCAGAAGGACTCACCCAGCGCTCGGGACTGCACCACTGGAAAGCAAAGGCAGAGGAAGAGGAGGTCAGGAGAGC